AAAAAAGGCCGACCAGCGGCCTCTCATGTTATGGGAGTAAGCTAGTGGAAGTTTAAGAGTGAATGTCTGCTGACTAAGACGGTACGTACTCTGTCACCTTCAGCAATCCACGTGTAACTTCGGTGGTATCAATTTACGAAATGAAGACCAATCGACCCAGTTACTATTTTTAACTGTAACGATGGAGAAACTTGTCAACAAATTCAGGTTATTCTGAAAGATTTTTTAAAAGACATGTAGCTGGGTTTTGTTGTTGTAAAAATAGATAAATATTCGGTAAAGCGTTTAGTACTTTAAGTCGAAATCAACATACCTGCTGGAAAATAGATGAGTCAGTGCACAGCTTGCTTGGAAATCTGTAAATTAAGATGGTTAGTCTTGAAAACACGAACAAATACGTTTTATTATACGGAAACTGTAGATATCTGATTAAGCGATGTTTAATACACCTTTTTGGTTACAAGTATAATATACCATTTTCGTCCCTGCGTACTTTTTATTTGTAAGTTTTACAAATAGTTGTATATTACATTCGGATGCATGGGTACCGTATGATATGGGGATGGGGAAGGGGTAAAGAGGGCTTACTTACTGTCATAATACACAGGCATAGGGTCAAGTGTAGGCAGGGGCAGTATCACAGGTTCCTTTGTAACCTCTACGTCACTTCCGCCCAGACTCATTGGCCGTTCATGGTCACAGGAAGTTTGATTCTCCTCTTTGGTAGAACGGGACTTCCTCTTCCTCCGCCTTTCTTTCTTGCCAGTCGGAGGTTTACCCTCCACCTGAGAATCATGCTGGGAGACAAGCCCACTCTTCTCGCTAAACTCTCGTCGTCTTCGTTCCTGACGAGACTCTTTTGGTCTCTTTTTCTTTACTGTTTTCTCAATGGGCTTATCAGTTTCGACAACGGATTTGGCCGTCTTGTAATCGGATTCGACAGTGTTGAGATTGCATCTGACCCTTTTAACATCAGGTTTGGCTGTTTTGATGTCGGGTTTGACCGTTTTGATATCGAGTTTGACCGTTTTGACACCGGTATAAAGTTTCCTCTTTGTATTGCCAGAGACTCTCGACCGTTTGAATGTTTTGATGAGAGTCCAGAAATTCTTGCAGACGTCCATTAAACATTTCGAGATTGTTCTTAAATCGCTGCCTCTCGGCTCGGTATATCTCCTTTACCTTGGTGTAAGAATCGTCTTCTTCAGCGTGACTTTCACTGTAGACCCTAGATGTATGCTCGGATGAATTTTTGACCTTTTCCCTTGCAGTTTTGGATGTATGCTTGGATTTTCCCATGGCAGTTTCGAGTGCATTCTTGGAATTTTCCAAAGCATTTTCGAATGCATGCTTGTACTTTTGTAAACCAATCTTGGTGGCATGCTTGGACGACTTGACCAAATTCTGTGTAGACGTCTTCTTCGACACTAAAATTAAAAAAAAACCTGTCGATTTTGTTCCAACATTATCTTGTCTTTGATGACACTGACAGTTCTATAAAAACAACAAATATGATGTCATCATTGTCTTATATTTAGTTTCAAGTCATATAACAATTTTTCGGTATTGCAGAAAAATGTGACTACATTATCAATCATTATAATAAAGGATTACTAAAACTAATGCATACCTTTGTCTTTCATATAATACCCCGTTACTCGGAGTACGGAAGCCTGCAATAGAGAAAAAATATGGTATTACCAAACAGCATCGTAATGACCAAACACATGCGGACCTCGGCTATATTTCTGTATTTAAAGTTCATCGACGTAGTCGGCTGGTAATACAACGTTCGTGAGAGTATCCCAGTGTTTAATAAAGGTTTGACTTATTTTCACGCAGACGTAATTTAAATTTTAAGTTAAAAAATAAATCTTCATCGCTCAATCCTAAATATTTCCTGTAGTATCTGCTTACCTCATAGATCTCTCTTCGGAGAGTCTGAAGAGCTGGAAATAATCAAGAAAACACTATTCAAAACTATTGATACAAACTCAGATATTGTCAGTTCGTTTATTGAATTATTTTTTTTGTACTGATTGTTTCGCTTTCGGTTCTCAAAAAGTAGGGTGCTAGGAAGGCAGAACTTTTTTTCTTTTCAAAAATTATGGAGTATAAGACAGCATAACAGACTTGAGATTTGATATTTTTTACATTGTTGTTTGTGTGTTTGTTTTTACCAAATAAATGAGAGAAAAATAGACTAGGCTAGGTCATACAATCTTAGTGGATAGAGAATAAAGATCGAGTTTCTGCTTCGGTACAATTCCAGTACAATACAGAAATGTTTACAGATGGAGATTACTGTTATTTCAGTAAATATAAGTACACGGTTCACAAAATATTTTACCATTACGTTAATTTCTAATGAAAATTCCAATTCGTTTTAGTTAATTATCCTCTCTTCTACACGTTGTGTACCTTCATCAATCGGTAACCGTCGGCACTTGCCGTAAACCAGGAGGTATTTTCTCGTTTAGAGAAAAGCCGACGGTCTCACTCATACTGAGAAGGGGAGATAACCACATTACTCATTACAGAATCAACTTACCAAGCTGTCTCTTTCGAATGTTGTCTTCAATCCTTTCTAAACTCATATCCACCATCTCGGTAGCAACGAAAGGCTGGAATTAAACGAAGAATACAAATACAATAATGGACTGTCAGATCGAGATTTGAAATCATGTTATCAGTTCAGATATTTTTGTGGGATTAATATGTTCCTGTAAATCCGCAACAAGAACCAACCACGGAGTCAAATTTGTGGTTAATAAACAATGGTTGTACATAATACAACATATACCTGCTTATAATTGTTTTAGGGATTCCAATACAATTGACGAATTAGATTAAATTTAACTTAAAAGTATTTACCTTTGTTTTGAAATCTCGCTTAAAATCCTCCAATTCTGAAAAAGAAATAATAGACATATTTATTTCGGGCACATATAGTTTTGTTACGTTTCAAAATAGAGTAATACTTTATACTCAACCCATAAATAACGGATATCAAGTGTCAAATTATTTTTAAGACATTCTAATGCAATTTTCAGATTGTTAGATATCTTTTCAATGGTTTAACTAGATATCTTTTCAATGGTTTTACTAG